ATAATAAATTTATATAAAATATGAATACCGATGGACCCCATGAAAGCTACCCTTCCGTCGGCCATAAGTAATAGACTGTCGAAGAGTTGAAAGACTGGAGACGAGGGCTGATGTATAGTACAGATGACAGTCCGTCCCTCCGATGCCATAGTCTTCAGCACTTGTACTATACTTTTGGCCATAAATGAGTCCAAACCAGTGGTCGGCTCATCACTAATGCATTCAATCATATGTTTGTCATTAGTTTTAAAGACTATTAGAAAAAGTCGTGTATTTCTCACCAAAACATTAGCGAAGGGTTTGTGAGAACCTCTGAAGCAAAGGACAGTCTTTTCATTTCTCCGCCGGAAATGCCTTTCAATTGTTTGTTGTCTCCGATCCGTGTTTCCGCACATTTCGCTAAATTAAACTAAATTATTATAAAACAAAATCAATATTTTACTAAATATTCAATTATACAGTATTTGACAGTATTTGTGAGTTTTTTATCAAAACCTTTTCAATGACTCGTTGAATGCAATCGATTCTCTCATTTCTACTCAAATTGCTATCCATTCGTAATAATGCCTTCAAATATGAGTTCATTTATTAAATGATCAGTCATTTTATAAAAGTATACCTCAAAACGCCTAGTGCCGAAAAGGCCTACTCTGACTTTACTTTATTAATGTAGACCAAAGTTAAATTATACCCTGGCACAATGGTACGGTATTACACAATTACGCTAATATGTTTGATTTAATCTATAACAAATTAGGATTTGTGGCAAAATTTTTTATAAAATTTTAAAAAATGAAAATAACAAGAGTTTGGTAGTGAATAAACTAAATAAAATTAGAGTAACGTTGTTTATTGTTAATTTAATAAAGGTCTAATATAAATAAACTTATTTGGTCAATATATATCATAATTAATAAGTAATTTTGAATTTTATAAAATCATGTATTTTTTGGGGTTTTGCTGAACTGGCCCTTATTTCGTGGCCCTTGGCCCACCACTACAGGAAAGCCAACCTAACCAAACTTAACTTAATTATACTAGAAGTTGGTTTGTTTCACTGCAAGACTGGGTTGACTTCACTGCAATGCCTGTTAAGTATGATAGGTTAGGTTAGGTAGGCTTCCCTGTAATAGTGGGCCAATGGGCTAAGGGCCACAAAATAGGGGCCAGTTCAGCAATACCCTATTTTTTGCCTAGGCGTTTTGTGCGAATCCGATTCATTATAATAAATTATATAATTAATATTATAATGATTAATTATAATAAATATAATTTTGATGTCAATAATAAATACATGAAATAATAGGTGTTCCCTGACTGTAAACATTGGTTGAAACAAATCGTGTTGTTGTATATACGAGGAAATGGATGCAATGGTCGGTTGACTGACTGTCTGTCCATTCATGAGTACCACTCCATTGACGGACAGTTGGGATAAATTCCTTGCCGTCAAAACATTCAATAGAGTTGTCTTTCCGGAGCCACTGAATCACACAATTAGTTAATAAATATTTTTTAATTAAAAATAAATAAGAAATGTGTACTAAATGTGTACTAATATACTGTATGTATGTATAGAATATACAAATAAAAGGTCCATAAATTTGTAACTCCTTTATAAAGCTAACAAATAAACAAATTATTAATTTCAGAAATAACTTAATTGAACATTTCGACCATTTATTTGAATATTTTATACAAATGTATAATAAATAAAAACTATTTTTTGATTCAATAATGATTTTTATGCAAACCTGGCGCCCATTATAGCCAACATAGTTCCAGCTTTAACTTCACCTGATACTATTAATTATTAATGATGTAATTACTTTAAAATTTTAAACATATATGTTAAACATTATAAATTGTAAATACCGTTCCTTAGGATCTCTTTTGTTTGTTTATTATTTTCAAAACAATTATAAATAGATTTCTGTGTTTTAGTCAACACTTGGATATTAGTCCACGAAATACACACCGAATGTATGGTCTCTCCCGGACTCCCATTCCTATTGTCGGCAATTATTTCCGACATTTCTATCATTTCTATTTTTCTGATTAAAAAAATTATTATATTATATTAGTCAAGCATTTGCAAGGACATATTTATAACACAAAATATTATTTAATTTACTTTAAATATGATCTCTAACTATGATTTGTAGTCAAAGATAGGAACTATGAAGTGCTTGTTAATAATGTACTGTATATTTGGTTTTAATGGTAAATGCAATATACTGTAGAATTTTCTAGAAATATTATCTGTAGTATAATATCAAATATAAAATATAAGCAAATCATTGTATATAAATCTACACCTTATAAATCTACCTTTATATATTTACCTCCATTTAACAAATGTCAACTAAATATAACTTCGAGGGAAAGGTAGTCCTAATCACGGGCTCGGGCGCCGCCATAGCCTTACTGTTTGCTCGAAGCGGTGCCCGATTAGTAGTCACTGGTCTGGACGGACGGGACGTACACTCAGTAGCCGTTGAATGCGCGACGATATGATCGGCAGAGTCGGTGATGGGAGTGGTGTCAGACGTGCGCCTGGAGTCGGACTGTCGACGACTGATAGTTACGATTATCGACTCGTTTGGACGGTTAGACATTCTGGTGAACAGCACCGGTGTGTTTGATATGACAGGCATAACAGACCCGGATTACATGCAAAAGCAATGCCAAGTGTTTGACGTGAATGTCAATTCTGTTATATCAGATTTCGAAAAAAGTTTTGTCCATCAGATTTGACTACTAAAATGCGGATTATTCCTAAACTATTTAAGTTATCAAATTTATATTTAAACCTCAACTATGGTTTTTGGTCTTACATATTCTCCCGAAGAGAGTACTAGTTTAGAGCACCGGTAGGTCGGCACAGGTAGATTATCTGTACAGGAAAAAGTATAAGTCGTAGAGAGACAATCAGCACATCGTTGGAAAGAACATGAAAAATGATCGAACACCTCTATCGGGATTTCGCAGGTAACATCCTCATTGAAGGGCTGGGAGGCACGGAATTTAGGAATTTTATATAAATTTTCATAAATCAAAAATCTAATTAAAGCATGATAATCCTCTTAAAAAATGACCAACAATTCAATTTTAAATTTTTTAAATATCTCAAGTAATGCCTGAGCTAGAGCATTTTAAATTTTCTAACTTTTTGTCTAATTTGTTTTTGATATTAAATTCCTGTGAAAAATAGTGAACTTTGACTTGCTCTAGATCAGTTATTTCTTAAGTTATCTGAAAGTTTTAAGATTCTAATATTATTAAATTTTTGAGCCCTATTCGATGATTAAATCTTATTTTTGATTTAAAAAATATTTATAGAAAATTCTTACATACCGTACCTCCCAATCCCTCAATGAGGATGTTACCTGCGAAATCCCGATAGAGGTGTTCGATCATTTTTCATGTTCTTTCCAACGATGTGCTGATTGTCTCTCTACGACTTATACTTTTTCCTGTACAGATAATCTACCTGTGCCGACCTACCGGTGCTCTAAACTAGTACTCTCTTCGGGAGAATATGTAAGACCAAAAACCATAGTTGAGGTTTAAATATAAATTTGATAACTTAAATAGTTTAGNCGATAGAGGTGTTCGATCATTTTTCATGTTCTTTCCAACGATGTGCTGATTGTCTCTCTACGACTTATACTTTTTCCTGTACAGATAATCTACCTGTGCCGACCTACCGGTGCTCTAAACTAGTACTCTCTTCGGGAGAATATGTAAGACCAAAAACCATAGTTGAGGTTTAAATATAAATTTGATAACTTAAATAGTTTAGGAATAATCCGCATTTTAGTAGTCAAATCTGATGGACAAAACTTTTTTCGAAATCTGATATAACAGAATTGACATTCACGTCAAACACTTGGCATTGCTTTTGCATGTAATCCGGGTCTGTTATGCCTGTCATATCAAACACACCGGTGCTGTTCACCAGAATGTCTAACCGTCCAAACGAGTCGATAATCGTAACTATCAGTCGTCGACAGTCCGACTCCAGGCGCACGTCTGACACCACTCCCATCACCGACTCTGCCGATCATATCGTCGCGCATTCAACGGCTACTGAGTGTACGTCCCGTCCGTCCAGACCAGTGACTACTAATCGGGCACCGCTTCGAGCAAACAGTAAGGCTATGGCGGCGCCCGAGCCCGTGATTAGGACTACCTTTCCCTCGAAGTTATATTTAGTTGACATTTGTTAAATGGAGGTAAATATATAAAGGTAGATTTATAAGGTGTAGATTTATATACAATGATTTGCTTATATTTTATATTTGATATTATACTACAGATAATATTTCTAGAAAATTCTACAGTATATTGCATTTACCATTAAAACCAAATATACAGTACATTATTAACAAGCACTTCATAGTTCCTATCTTTGACTACAAATCATAGTTAGAGATCATATTTAAAGTAAATTAAATAATATTTTGTGTTATAAATATGTCCTTGCAAATGCTTGACTAATATAATATAATAATTTTTTTAATCATAAAAATAGAAATCATAGAAATGTCGGAAATAATTGCCGACAATAGGAATGGGAGTCCGGGAGAGACCATACATTCGGTGTGTATTTCGTGGACTAATATCCAAGTGTTGACTAAAACACAGAAATCTATTTATAATTGTTTTGAAAATAATAAACAAACAAAAGAGATCCTAAGGAACGGTATTTACAATTTATAATGTTTAACATATATGTTTAAAATTTTAAAGTAATTACATCATTAATAATTAATAGTATCAGGTGAAGTTAAAGCTGGAACTATGTTGGCTATAATGGGCGCCAGGTTTGCATAAAAATCATTATTGAATCAAAAAATAGTTTTTATTTATTATACATTTGTATAAAATATTCAAATAAATGGTCGAAATGTTCAATTAAGTTATTTCTGAAATTAATAATTTGTTTATTTGTTAGCTTTATAAAGGAGTTACAAATTTATGGACCTTTTATTTGTATATTCTATACATACATACAGTATATTAGTACACATTTAGTACACATTTCTTATTTATTTTTAATTAAAAAATATTTATTAACTAATTGTGTGATTCAGTGGCTCCGGAAAGACAACTCTATTGAATGTTTTGACGGCAAGGAATTTATCCCAACTGTCCGTCAATGGAGTGGTACTCATGAATGGACAGACAGTCAGTCAACCGACCATTGCATCCATTTCCTCGTATATACAACAACACGATTTGTTTCAACCAATGTTTACAGTCAGGGAACACCTATTATTTCATGTATTTATTATTGACATCAAAATTATATTTATTATAATTAATCATTATAATATTAATTATATAATTTATTATAATGAATCGGATTCGCACAAAACGCCTAGGCAAAAAATAGGGTATTGCTGAACTGGCCCCTATTT